ACATTTCAGTCTCTTTCCACAAGCTTTTCCAGGCTGATGATTTGTCTTAAATAAGGAACAAAGAACACTATTGATTTCTGTTTGCACACACCTGTATCCGAGAGAAGGGTTAGGGTATTTAATTCACAGAGGAATACAGATTTTGGAACAAAATTATATTAAATGTTTCTACACTACATAAAATTACATTTTTCTTTGTCATCAACCACATGGCCATTTGTAAGTCTAAAAACTAGCTGCAAGGAACAATACAAACATTTACAGTTATTTATGGAAAAGCTCTGGATTAAGACTCTTTAAAAAGATGTAGCATTGCTCATGCCTGCAGCCAGACCACCTGCTACCTAGAGGTTACTCATATTTACACTGTTTAATCAAAATCAAATCCACAGACTAGGGGTAAAAAAGATCTGGTCAGGAAAGTAATTATTCCCTTCAAAACCTATGACTGCCATTCCATCATAGGTTATCAAGCACTACTAAACAGATTCTCTTTCCTAGATCTAACCTTGAGAAGCAAGAAGATGACACAAGAAACACATTAGAAAACCTCAATACAAGCACAACAAACACCTTACAGACCTGCTAATTCTGAGTTAGTCCGAATCTTTTCACATCAGCTTCCTCAAAAGGAAAAAACTTACTGTGAGTTATGGCCACTTCCATCTTCATCTGTTATCTCAAGCACTGTTTTTTTTGCAGCTTCACTGATTCCCCTACAAGATGTTGAAAAGCAGAATTTACTGAAAATGACAGGGACTATAAAGGATTAATTGTAAAGGTTTATGTACCCCAAATATTTACCTATTCAAAACTCCATCAGAGATCAGTGCTTCTTTTGGGTGGTGGTATTTGTAATATACATTTCGTACTACAGCATCTTGAAGAAAGAAAATTTTAAAAAGTCGTTTTAGCCGAACGGGATGCTGATACAGCAACGAAAAAACACATGTAGTTTGTGGATTCCTTGGGTATTTGCTTCTAACACCGCAAAGCTGATGTGTGTCTCCCAAAAGAATACAGATGATCCTTCTCTACTACTTCCTTTTGGACATACAGATTCAGAACAGGAATATATTTGCAAGTTCAAATGAAAATAAGCACATCTCCATGTGCTTCTGCAAAGCAGAAGATGCAAAAGGATGCTCCAGTTAAAAGAATATGTATCAAGCTTTACAAGTTCAAACTCTTTTTTTTACACATCTTCCAAAAGCATGATGAATCTAATATTGTTGATGTAAAAAAGGCACAGGCTAGAAAAGCCACCAAAGACCCTAAAATATTTTATGTACACTAAGAGACAGGTGTTCTGTTGCTTGGTTTTTTTCCACATTGGCCGTACAAAACCATGGCATTTTATTGATCTGCTACAGAAAAGTGCTGTTGTTTATTCAGGATCAGTATGAAGTGATTCAAGCCATTAAAACACGTGGGAATAATGTTTGAAATGAAAGACTGTAACCAAGAAACATCACTAGAAGTATTTTCTGTTAGTAAATACCATTAAAATTGACAACTACAGCAAAGGAGTGGAGATGGCCAAACTGTTATCAAGGTACTCTGCGCATGGAAAGCCCTTAGTGCACTTCAGTTTTACACTGCCACGTACGTGTATATTTCAAGGAAATATATCTCTTAAACCAAAAGGTACTTTGTTAAAGGGATCTGCTTGGCTTATATCTACAAGGTTGAACCTGCTCATTAGATTTTGCTGCAAATGGATTAATTAAAAGGTATCAGTGAGTCCCATTACCATTATTGAAAATGATCCCATATTCTTCTAACAAAAAGTTAATATTTGTGCCAGATCGGGACTCTCCGCCTTCTCTTAGCATCACCAGGATGGCTCCACCATCCTCCAGGAATGTCTTCAGAACCAAAAACTAGAAGACAACAAAGATCCAAAAAAAATACACGTGAAAGGAGCTACACACAAGACTGCAGGAAGTTATACAGATATGATTCTGACAACTTGCAATTAACTTGATCCTAATCAGAAAAGCATTCAAACTTCAATTTGTGTAAATTCGTATAAAGCAGTACAATTACAAAGTCTTCTGTGTTGTTCTTTTTAATTTCACATTATGCAAATCTTAAAACATAACTAATTTGCAAACAGTTATTGACTTCTTACCTCAGCAGCACTGAACTTTTCTCTGGGCCCTGCTGTAATCCACAATTTTACCCCAAATAGTTTCTCAGATGTGATCTCATCTTTTAAGCTATGGATAGATTAATAAGACATGTTATTCTTGGATAGAGTCCTGAACAATAACTTACTTTTTTTGTTGTTCGTTTGTTGGGTTTTTTTGAGGAGTGGTAAATAAACACAAAGTAAAACACTTCAGTCACTTCACATCCTTTTATCTGGCTTTAAAGTTGACAACTTGAGCAAAAGTAATCCTTACAAATTTCAACCCACTAAATAGTAAACCCACTCTAACGAGGTACTGTGGCAGGTCCAGAATTGGTATAAACCATCACAGCTGCTGTTAAACTTTGCACCTGATGAGCTTCCTATTATTCTTTTTTTTTTCCTTTTTGCTCTGGGTACATTTTGTAGTGAACAGATAGGCAGTATCACATGCACAAGATAGACTCAAAAAACTGTATCGGGAGTTTCATTCCTATAATTTACGCTCTACCTCCTCTACAGGGAAGATAGCTGGAAGCTCCAAAGACATCCATGCACAACATCCAACAGTGAAATTACAGCCAGTGCCACAGAGGGCAAATACACATTCCCAAAGGCTATTTGGGATTCAACGTAGACAACACACAAATTTCAAGATCTCTCTAGGGACTGCGGGCACCCCAGCCCCTAATCCCTGGAGATGAGGTGGGTGCTCCCAGCCTGGGCAGGCCGGGAGAAGGATCTTCTCCTCCAGCTGCGAGAACCCAGCCGTGCCCTCGGTCCTGTCTGTCAGGGACCATCACCCGGCTTCTCTCCCACGCCACCGCTCCAAAAAAGCCGCCAAGTCGTCCCTCACCT